GTCCCATGACTGCAGTTGAAGTCCTGGGGCTGTCAGGGAAGAGGAGTAAATGTTACAAATTTAGCAGAAAAGGATTCCACACCAAGTGCATGAAGTGGGCAGATGAGGCATTCAAGGTCATGGAAAGGAATTGCAATCAGCGGCATAATGATCTGAAATGGGAAAGAAGGAAACCAAACTTTGGCACGCTGACCTTTTCCCCTGATAAAATATAGTGTGTCTTAGGATAAGTCGCGAAGCCAGGCCCTCAACACAAAACTCCCAATAGAAGACAATATATGTAGCTCAGGATTCAACTGTGAGCACTTGGTACTCTCTGTGTTCAGTGCACTGATGATATTACCTAGTCAGGTCATGAAATGTCTGCAAGCAGACAACCAAACTCATTCTCAAAATTGGAATATATATTCCAAGGAATATATCCCAAGGAGCACCCATGGGATCACCCCTCTCACCTGTCATTGCTAACCTCTACATGGAACACTTTGAAACCCAAGCTCAAGAAAAATCAGATCACAAACCGAAACTCTGGCTCAGATACGTAGACGACACCTTCATAATCTGGCCACATGGGAAAGAAAAACTGGACAACTTCCTCACACACCTCAACAGCTTACACCCCAAAATACAGTTCACCATGGAAACAGAAGCGAACAACCAACTTCCCTTCCTAGATGTCTTAGTCTACAAAAAATCCAATGGCTCCCTAGGACACACCATCTACCAGAAGAAAACACACACGAACCGCTATCTGCACGCACTCTCACACCACCACCCAGCACAGATCAACTCCGTAGCCAAGACACTCATCTCCAGAACAAAACGCTTAGCTGACGAACAACACCTAAAAACCGAACTACACACTCTCACTAACGTACTAACATCCAATGGATTCCAAAGAAATCAGATCACCAACCTAATCCAAAAAGAAACCCCCACTAAAACCCAAGACAGAGAACAAGAAAACGGCAAAGCCCTCCTCCCATACATAAAAGGCACCACAGACAGAATAAGCAAAATCCTCCACAAACATAACATCAAGACAGCATTCTGCACAAACCGAAAAATATCCACCATCCTAAGGAACCCCAAAGACAAAATTGAGTTAGAAAATCAAGGAGTATATGAAATCCCATGCACCGCCTGCCCCACCACATACATCGGACAAACCAACAGACGAATAAGTGCACGCATAGAAGAACACAAGAACTTAGTCAGAAAAGAGGAACCAACTTCTTCCCTGGTCCAACACCTTAAAGTCACAGGACATGATATTGACTTTAAAAAGACCAGAACTATCGCCAAAACTGAACACTTTAACAACAGAATAATCAGAGAAGCCATCGAGATAGAAAAACGCCCACACAGCATGAACAAACGAGACGATACCTCCCACCTACCAGCCATTTGGAAACCCACCCTTATTGACAAACGAGTCCCTAACACGACGAATGACACCAGACCCACACTCACGAGAGCCACACAGGATGTCACCACCACACATCCACGCAGAAAGCAGACTCAAACCCACACTGATAATGAGCCACGACCAAGGACCAGAAGCCAGACCGCAGCTGCATCATTAGCCACTTTAAACCCCTCCAATCCATACATGAAGCTAACTGACACCCACCGTGAAGAGCTCGCACGGCCACAAACACGAAGCCAAACAACAACGCAGCTCACCAGCTGAAATCCCCCTGCAACTCAGACTAAGCTGAGCACAACCAAGCCCCCACCCAAACAGAACACCCCCCCAGCCAATCAGAGCACAGCCAAACCCCCATCCAATCAGAGCACAGCCAAGCCCCTAACCAATCAGAACACACCTCCACCCAATCAGAACACAGCCAAGTTCCCACCCAATCAGCTCACACCCCCACTAGCAGTTAAAAGGAAGAGACAGCTGCGATCTCACATTGCTCCTGGAAGCACGAAGCCGAGAATACCAGCCTGAAGATGACGAATGAGACTTCGTCGAAACGTCGCCAAGACACTTCCAATTTTACATGGGAGAAGACCCGAATAACCAAAGACCTACATACAAACACCCGCGAAAACCTGAGAAAACAAATATATATATATATGCCGCCCTTCTCCGGAGACTCAGAGCGGCTTACAATGCGTTAAGCAATCGCCTTCATACTTTTGTATATACCTGCTTAGTAGGGCTTTTTGGGGCCCCCTGAGCGGTGTTCTTTTTTATACAAAGTCAGCTTATTGCCCCCACAAACCGGGTCCTCATTTTACCTACCTCGAAAGGATGGAAGGCTGAGTCAACCTTGAGCCTGGTGAGATTTGAACTTGCAGTAATTGCAGGCAGCTGGTGCTAGTTAACAGCACTTAGTCTGCTGCGCCACCAAGGCTCTTCATCCTCAAGTCCATCTCTATTTTAATATTTGCAGATGTTTCCTTGATTTGTGATTGTGGCTTTGACAATGTGGGAATATTGATATTTCAGAGAAGTTACTTTTTTGGTATCGGAATCTGAGCTAGGTAAACTTATTTGGAGGGCCCAGAAAGTGAGTGGATGGGAATATCAACTTTTCAGATATTAAAAGTTCAGTTTTTAATATGTTACAGTCAGGAAAGGAATTCAAATTCTAATCTTCATAGGGTAGCCAATAGCTATAATAACCCTAGGTTGTTCAAATTCTTCCTATAATTTGCTCTATTTCATATGCTGTTCTTTCCTAAACGCTCATTGCTATCAGTCCAATTGTTCTTAAACATTTCATCACTTGTCTGTTTCTTCACTCCCTCCTCAGTTTCTAGAACTGGTATAATCACTTACACTTTGAAGAATTTATTGCTTCCTCAGCTGCTGCGGCTTCTTTTTTAAACTATTGCAGATATAATTTTTGCTTCTTGCTCAAAGCTACAGTTCTGCTACATTTACAAAATTCTTCGTAACTTGGTTGGTTGGATGGAAATATATGTACATTCAGCAATAAGCCTGCTATAGACATGTAATTTATTTTTCTGCTTGATCGATGAGCTAGCAAATAAGGAGAGCAAATTAAGAGTTGGCCAGAGGGAGACTCCAATAAACTCCAAGCAGTGTGGAGAACAAAAGAAGCTTCTCAGCGATTTGCAAGGTGGATGTAATCCTTGTCCTCTTGCTCAAAAAGAACTCCAACTACACCTGTTGGAACTGAAAGCTTGTGTCCTTATTGGAGAAAGTCAAAGGCTTAGGGGCTTAGTTTCTATGCTGCAATATGTCAGAATTGCAGAACATGAGAATGTCTTCAATAGAAGAGGTGGTGCTTCTTAGGAGGGGCAAAAGAGTGAGTCCCATGGAAAGGCATACAACTGAAGCATACGGCCCTGAGGAGTCAGAAAATCAGGAGTTATTCATAGGCCCAACTGAGCTCAGTAATTGACACCAAGCTCTTGCTGTAGGAGATCATTCTTTACCCCCTGACCAAATTTGGCCAATCTCAGCCTGGGTCTATTTCAAATTGCCACAGCCAACTCGTGGCAAGACAACTCAGTGTGGGACACCAATACTGAAGAAATGGTAGAATAGAATCATTAAAGAAAGGATGAAAAAAGAGGGACAAAATGAAATGTGAATGACACCAATTAAAATAATGTTTAATTATTTTAAATAAATAAATTGAATTGTTGTATTGTCCCGTGGAAAGTTGGCTGTGGCGAGTTGATCATAGCAAGTTGGCAGCGGTGATTTGGCTACAGCAAGTTGGCCCATTCCACCCAGCTTCCCATAAAAAGTTAGAAGATACCCGGGTCTCCATGGGAGGTCTTGGAGATAAATAAGAGAAGAGAAGAGAAGAGAAGAGAAGAGAAGAGAAGAGAAGAGAAGAGAAGAGAAGAGAAGAGAAGAGAAGAGAAGAGAAGAGAAGAGAAGAGTTGGAAGGGACCTTGGAGGTCTTCTAGTCCAACCCCTTTCTTAGGCAGGAAACCCTACACCACTTCAGACAAATGGTTATCCAACATCTTCTTAAAAACTTCCACTGTTGGAGCATTCACAACTTCTGGAGGCAAGTTGTTCCACTGATTAATTATTCTTACTGTCAGGAAATTTCTCCTGAGTTCTAAGTTGCTTCTCTCCTTGATGAGTTTCCACCCATTGCTTCTTGTCCTGCCCTCAGGTGCTTTGGAGAATAGCTTGTCTCCCTCTTCTTTGTGGCAGCCCCTGAGATATTGGAACACTGCTATCATGTCTCCCCTAGTCCTCTTCATTAAACTAGACATACCCAGTTCCTGCAACCGTTCTTCATATGTTTTAGCCTCCAGTCTCCTAATCATCTTTGTTGCTCTTCTCTGCATTCTTTCTAGAGTCTCAGCATCTTTTTTACATCGTGGTGACCAAAACTAAATGCAATATAATAGAATAATAATAACAGAATAACAGCATTGGAAGGGACCTTGGAGGTCTTCTAGTCCAACTTCCTGCTCAAGCAGAAGACCCTATACCAGTGATGGCTAACCTTCTCTGGACCGAGTGGCCAAAGCATGTGTGCGTATGAATGTGCGTGCGTGCCCCTGAGCCCCCAAAATGCAATGTGTGTGCAGCCCCTGTGCATGTGCCCTGCCTCGCGCATGCGCATGCAGCCGCCTATATGGGCCCCATTCCCTGCGCATGCATGGCAGAGACCCAACGACCAGCTGACTGGTGGGAGGCGCAGGCACATGCGCAGCAGAGGTGAACTGGGGCGGTGGCTCGCATGCCCACAGAGAGGGTCGTGCATGCCACATGTGACACGCATGTCATAGGTTCGCCATCACAGCCCTATACCATTTCAGACAAATAGCTGTCCACTCTCTTCTTAAAAACCTCCAGTATTGGAACAGTAACATTGATCAGATTAGTAGGAAGCTGCAACACCAAAGTTAGTAGAGGGTACCATTGACAATCTAGAACGGAAAAGAAGTTGTGTTGTGTACAAAGGAAGCATACATACGCACTTAAATTCACAAAGGTGAGCATGGAATTCTATTGAGAGGGTTTGGATAAGAATAAAAGGAAAGAGAAATCAAAGTCACGTGAGTTTATTATAAACTGTCTGGACAAGCAAAACATATGGAAGAAGCCTTGAGTTTCCACGGAAGAAGGCAGAACCTGGAAACAACACTTCTCTTATGCTCCACACTTTAACCCTTTAGAATATGTTCCCCATTCCCCCCCTGCCCCCCCCAGCGAAGATCTGGGTAGATCCCATTTTGGTTCCCTTTCAGAAAATGATGGAAACAACCTTTTTAGACAAGTCTTTGGATATGATTATCCCAATGAAGGATACCCTTTGTTTCTTATCTGATTAAATTTTACTGGGTTTTTTTTACAGCACCCATATTTTTTCATGAATTGATTTGTAAACTGGCTAGCGATATATAGATGTGGCAGTATGTCAATATTCAGAGTAAATACATAATATTCCATAATATATGACATTTATTTTAAGACTACCTAGGCAAAAAAGAATAGTTAGTGTTGCTGCAGGATCTGGTCTTCTATTGGGAAAGCTTCAATAAGACAGGGTTAATTGACAAAGTTCCCTCAAACTTTCTTTCCCACCAACATACAGTGTACTATCCCTGGAAAACTCATATGCAATACCCTGTAGCTCCACCACCTCTGGCTGCAGTCATACAACTCACTAAACTGAGTTAGCAAAAGACAATGGCTACGCTGACAAAATTGGCCATTCCCTAAAGCAGTCAACCCCATGATGATTTAATGCAATGTCCCGGTTTATGTAAGACAAAGACTGGGGCTCCCACAACCCATTGCAAGGCCAAAGCGAGTCAGGGAAGCATCCGATGAAACGGTCCTCCTGCGCCATATTTACCTGTGTGCAAAAAAAAGCTGAGATCTCCGAGGCCACGTTAAGGAGACAGGCCTCCGCTCTCCAGCCTTCGGGAGGATTTGTGAGGCACGTGTTCGGCCTCACAATCAGATTGTGAATTCTTCCTCCCAACCGGCTGTCTCTGTCTCTGGCTCAGGCCGAGCTGTCCCTTTTGCATCGGAGATGCTGGTTGCTGTGGCAACGGGCACTTGCCTCACAATGCCTGCTGCCTTCCCCAGTTCTGGCCCCAGTTCTAGCTCTAGAAGCAACGTAGCTGAGAAACCTGTTTTGGAAACCACAGCCGTCCTACTCAAGTTTACGCTGCATGGAGCTCCCTTTGATTTTAGTTTTCTATCCTTTAAAGTGTATGGAAAAAGGAAGCAGGACTCAAACCCAAATGAAGAGGAGAACCACTTTTACGGGCTCCTGAAGGATCTCTATGCTTTCTCCAAAAAAAATGGCACTCTTCTCACAAGAAGTCCAGGTCACAGGTTAAGGCACCCAAGAGGGCCACCCATAAATGGGTAGATCCACAAAAAGCCGAAGAAGAAACAATGAAGAAGGGGGAAAAATTGAATTAGTTCCTTAGTAATTGGGGGCTTGTCTGGTGTCTTCTTTGACCATGCCTGCTTGTTTCCCAGGCTCTGCTGAGATGTCATGGAAGTTGGATAGGATGCTCCCCCACACACGGTCTGTTAAGTCTGGGATATCACCCCGGCCCAATCCTTTGGTCTTCACTGGAGGAAGAATCCGGATGGTGATGTCCCCTTGGAAGAGAGAAAACAAAGAAACCTATTGTGGCATGGCTCGTAAGTATCCAAATGCATTTGATCTCAATCATGTCTCATCCAGATGACCAGAGTTAAGCTTGCCAGGGTCCCAGCTGGTTTCTGGAAGGCCTGACCACCCCTAACTTGCACAGGGGGAAAGAACAAGTTGACTTGCGCATTGAGCAACACAAAACAAGAACTATGGTATCTTCTCTCTTGACTTTGTAGCTAATGCTACGAAGTACAGGTAGTCCTTGATTTACAACTGCAATGCAGCCTGCCCATTATGGCTGTAAGTCGTAACAGTCATGAAGTGAATCATCATGTGACTGGACACTTTTTTTGCGGGGCAATAAAGCAAATGCTATGGTTGTTAAACGAACACCACAATCATTAAGGAAAATGTTGTTAAACAAACCCATTGTTTACAATGTGGCATTTTTACTAAAAACTGGAAATAAACACCGATTTTCAGCCTGGCCATCAGAACTCGCATCTGGGACATAAATACCTTTTAGGGGAGGTCCATTGTAATTTTGAACCATCGCTAACCAACCAGTCATAACTCAAGGACTACCTGTCCTTGGAGGTATAGCTTGCATGGATTATAGACCTTCTCTGCCATTCAGAAGTTCTCATGGTAGATTCAGAGAGACACTAGCTTTATTTATTTATTTATTTATTTTATTTTATTTTATTTTATTTTATTTTATTTATTTTATTATTTTATTTTATTTTATTTTAGTTTAGTTTAGTTTAGTTTAGTTTAGTTTAGTTTAGTTTAGTTTAGTTTAGTTTAGTTTAGTTTAGTTTAGTTTAGTTTAGTTTAGTTTAGTTTAGTTTAGTTTATTTGTATACCGCCCTTCTCCAACAGGACTCAGGGGGGTGAACAGCCACGGTAAAACACAACATATAAAATTTAAAAGCAGTTTAAACGACATTAAATAATTTTGGCCATCAATTTAAAGCAACCCAGTTAAAACCAATTACAAATTAAAACCGCAAGGATGGGATCAAGCCAGCCCAAGAGGGCAGCCAGAGATCCTGCATGTGCCCCAGTCTATTTGGGTGCCCTTTAGAACAGGGGTCACCAACCTTTCGGATCTGAGGGACCACTAAATTCATAATTTTAAATCCCGTGGACCACTAATACAAAGTTTTTAAAAAAGATAAATAATATTTAGTGGTATATAAAAAATGCAAATAATTTTTCTGTGGACCACCAAAATTTTCTCGTGGACCACCAGTTGGTGACCGCTGCTTTAGAACATCATGATTATACTGCTAAAATGTGGCAATAGATTAATTGCAGCTCCATTTATTTTTTTTTTGCTTTTTAAAATAAATCCTCTAATAAAGGTCCCAAAGGTGCTTTTCAAAAGGCAACTGGACTTTCTTAGTTTTTTTTTTTCTTTGAAAATGTTTTGCTTCTCATCCAGGAAGCTTCTTCAGTTCAATAAAGGGGGAAAGAAAATCCCACCCTGACTGCAAGGCTGAACATTTTGGCCCTGTCCTTTCCAGTGGGGTTAAATCAAGTGGAGTCCTCAGTCCAAAACCATTATCTGCCTCTTGGAGCCTATAGTGCTGTGTGACGAAGGGCTGACCTATTTTTATCCTGGTCACTTGCACTTGTAGGCCTCCCCTTGAGAGCTGACATGTTGCTACCTCTCGGGGTGGAGGGGGGGGAATCTCAGACAAACATTGACTTAGCTATTCCCATTGCAACAGAATACCAGATGTGAATTTGCTAGTCTTCATGTTGAAAAATGGTTTGTAGGAGGACATCACCACAGGAATGATTGGCACCTGCAAGGAAAGAAAAACAATCACTGTCCAGAAGAGGGACATCACGACCATTGCATTGCAAAAGTGGAATCATGAAGCTAACCTCTCTGCCAGCAGAGTAACACATACAGATGGTGGCTGTGTTGGACATAAAATCAAGAAGAACTTCAATCCTACCATCACAGTCACCATCTTGGCTTGTTTGACCATATCCTATAGACACACTGGCGGTTGCTTTTAGGTAGGATTTGTTTTGTTTGTTTGTTTTTTACATCTGTCTAAAGGAAAACTGAAGAGAAATGACCTCCTCATCGTTCCCACCACCCATCTCCTTCCACTTATGACTGTATGACTGTAATTTTGTTGCTTGTATCCTTACGATTTATATCGCTATTGTTTCCTGATTGCTTATTTGTACCCTATGACTATCATTAAGTGTTGTACCTTATGATTCTTGACGAATGTATCTTTTCTTTTATGTACACTGAGAGCGTATGCACCAAGACAAATTCCTTGTGTATCCAATCACACTTGGCCAATAAAAAATTCTATTCTATTCTATGTGGCCTATCTATCATACCTTTAAATAACATTATTAAGGTTACCATGGTTATTAGCATTGAGTAATATCTTATAATATTGAACAACTAAATGATGAGGGATTATATACAAGGTGGAACAAATATTACAATATTAACAACTTTAATTGCATATTTATAATGTTACAGTAATGATGTGAGTATGACTAACATAATTAATATAATTATGCCACATCCATGTAGCAAATATGCTACTACTGCAACCTCTGATCAGCATAGAATCAGGTTTGAGGAATGGGGAAGGCCTTGCTGAGGGGAAACTGGTGGGAAAGTTTGTTGGCTCCAAAAGATTCATCTCTCTTTGCTTCCTTGTAAATGAGGGGTTAACTTCAACATCAGTAGTAGAGTTTAAGGTGCCACAAATTTTCCACAGTGGAGTTTTAATTACGGGGAGGCAATTAATAAGGGGAAAAGAAAACCCAAAAGTCTAATAAACAACCTGAAACAACCATACATAAGAGATGTTTCTCAACCTCAGCGAGTTGAAGTTATGTGGACTTCAACTTCCAGAATTCCCCAACCAGTTTGTTGACTGAGGAATTCTGGGAGCTGAAAGCCACACACTTTCAAATTGCCAAGGTTGAGAAACATTGAAGGGGAAAAAAAACAGGCAACGCTATTTGAGTTGTATTCACTTAAGCAGGGATAGATAAGCATTACAAAATCTTGCAAAATGGAGTGCTTCCCCACTAGCCCTGTCCTTTTCCTAGCTATTCTATCCCGGTGTTCTTTTTAAAACTTTTTTAAAAGTTTAATTTTCTTTCTTTCAGGACTGCTTCCAACTTATAAAAATTAAGGAGGACTCCTTAAAAAAAGCTGCTAGTATGTTATGGACAATTGCCATATTAAAAAATAAAATTGATGTGGCCACTACCCTTTCTCATGACTGTTTGATGGGATTTTAATAATCTACTATTGAATATTGAAAGACTGGCAAATAAGTTCTATTTCACAGCCCCTGAAATGGTCTTGGAGCACCCCAGAGGTCCTAGAGCCGTGATGGCGAACTTATGCCATGCGTGCCCCCAGATGGCACACAGCGCCCTCTCTGTGGGCACGTGAGCCATCACCCTAGTTCAGCTCCACCGTGCATGTACGCATGCCTCCCGCTGGTCGTCGGGTCTCTGCTGCACATGCGCAGGGGCATGTGGGGGACACGCGCACATACACGGGACGGAGGCGTGCATGTGGGGGGTGCATGAGTGGGGGCGTGCATGTGCAGGGGGCATGCATGCACATGTGGACGCATGCGCTGGGGGGCACATATGGGGCCCAGAGTGCATGCACGGGGGCCACACACGGATTGCATTTTGGGGGTTCAGGCACGCACATTCGCATGCACACATGCGCTGTGAGCACTCGGTGCGGAAAAGGTTAGCCATCACTGTCCTAGAGGCTAAAAGGAGCCTGGATAGCTCAACAGACTAAAAGCCTGTTATTAACATTCGCTCCAGGCATCGGGCGCACTCTGCCTTTTTGCAGAGCTAGGCGCTGAAACCAGATTAATCAACGAATCTAACAGATGGATTTATTAAAAAAGATGAGACTTGGACTTGGGACCCTAAATTGCAAGTATCCCTAATGAATTTATAAGCATTTCAGAGTGAAAGAGAAAAAAGAGAAAAAAAAATTTTTAAATGGCGATCGCTGAGGCTTGGGAAGTAGAAGAAAGCCGAAAGTGAGAGTCCTTCCATAACAGATACAAAGTAGCGGAATATATAGTGCTGGCTACAACTTGGAAGAAAATTAGTTATTTTAAGTTCCTCTCCTCTTGGAGATTTGTACTTGATCTTGTTTGGAGAAAAAAAAAAGTTTGCTGGCAGGATGGCGTTACTAATAAAGCCTGATAGACAAGAAGAGGGGGGTGCTCCCCCACTCACAACTGTTTGAACAAGCTCTGAGCTTACAGACTCTGCAGAATGGTTTTAATTTAAAAGAATTTATTCAGGAGGAAATGGCAAAATATTATGAGACTGTGAACCAGAAATTTGAAAAATTAAGGCAGGAAATTAAAGAAATTATACAACTAAAGTATGATAATTTGCAACAAAAGATTGTGACAGTGACTAATGGTTTTTCAGAAATTGTTATAAAGTTGGATACAAATATTAAATTGTTTGAGTCTAAAATGGAGAAAATTGATGATAAGATTTATAATTTGGACAATAAAATATTAAGAATTGAAAAGGATTTAATAAATATTCAAGACAATAGTTTAGAAGTAAAGTCTAAAGAGGAAGCTGGTCACGAGACTTATAATGCAGAAGATATAAAGCAAGGAATTGAAAGAGAAGTTGTAATGATGCAATACAAGTTTACAGAATTTGCGATCAGAATCAGAGGCTTACAGGAAAATAACAGTGATGATCTAAGAAAAACATCCGCTCAAGTTCTGGCTGGGATCTTAAAGGTTCATCCTGAGGAGGTATTCTGTAAAATTGATAAGGCATATAGAGTAAATTCTTGGATTGCTAAGCAAAGGCAACTGCCTAGAGATGTGGTGATTTATTTTATAGATAAAGAAATAAGAAATGATATTGTGCAAAAATCCTTTAATTCTATTCTACAACTGCATGGGAGAAAAATTTGGATATATAAAGAATTGCCGCCTAAGATGATAAGAGATAGAAAGAAATTTGGACTTTTGGTGACTGAGTTAAGGAAACAAAATATTTCATTCAGGTGGGATGTCCCAGTGGGTATAATACTGAGATATCAAGGAGTAAGATATCAGTTAAATACTGTTGAAAAAGCAGAAGAATTTTACTACAAGGTCCTTAAAAAGCAAAATCAACAAGAGACAGAACTTCAAGAAAAGCAGAAGGAGATGGAAGTAATGAAGAAACAACAAGTTATAGCGGTTTCTACAGATGAGCCGCTTTCGGATTTTTTCTCAGAGGTCTCAGCTGGATTATTTAATATAAGAGAGGCGGTTCCGGACCCGAATGCAATGATGTATCAAGCCACAAATCAGCATGGAAGTCAATCAGTTGACATACAATTTACAGAACCAGAAAGATTTCAGCCACAAAAGCAAAACCAACGAGATCAAGTTATAGATCAGCATGAAAACCAAATAGTTGATACACAATCTACAGAAAGGAATTTAGGATGGAGATCCAACCCACAAAAAGTCAAGAAAAGAAGAAGTAGGTCCCACAAAAACAAAAACTTTTAAATTAAACAACAGTGTAATGCCAGCTACTTATGAGAGGACTGAATATATGAAAAGATAATGGGCAAAGTATTGGTTTTTTTATCCTGAGGAGAGTGACAGATCTCTGCAGTGCTGAAATCTTTGGGATGTGAAAAAGGCCTTAAATCAAATGGTTGGAAATATCTTGTTTGTTTTTTTTGGATTTCTTGATAAATATACTACATGTATGCTGAGTTACATGGCAAGAGATTTACTGGATTGGGGCACGCAGAAGATCTGGTTGTTACCCTATTATGGTGGTTGGAATTAATAATCTGGATACAAGACACCTCTATAGTCATTATATGGAATATAAATATAAAGTTACTCGGGTGGTTGTTGTGGTTTTTTTTTTTTTTTTTTTTTTTTGCAATATGAAGATATTTGTTACTGATGGGGGCAGATGGTGATTGAAGATACTGAGAATACTGTTGGAATTAGGATGCGATGTTACCCTAATATGGACGATGGAGTTTATCATCCAATTGAAAGACACTACAGAAGATATTATATGGATTACAAGTCTAAAGTTTTTTTTCTTTTAGGATTTTATTTACATAAGGGAATATTTTTCTAGGGTGGGCAGAAGAATAAAGATATTAACAACAATTATGGTAGTTTTGTAGGAAAGTGGGTGGAGATAGGTTAGGTTATTGATTGTTTAGTTTAAAAAAAAGGGATATTATGTTTAAATGTGAATATATGTAAAAGATTTGTCTTATAGTGGAAGTATGTTCTGAAATGTTATATCACATGGGGAGTAGTAAAAGGGTAGATCATGAGTGGAAATCGTTAAATTGGGAGATATAATAACATTATTATGTTAAATTAGGAGTTATTAGATAATGTTATAATAGAATGTCACTTTGAAATGTATATTATAGTATAGGATAAGGGGGATATAATCGTTAAATTGGGAGATATAATAACATTATTATGTTAAATTAGGAATTATTAGATAATGTTATAATAGAATGTCACTTTGAAATGTATATTATAGTACAGTATAAGGGGGATATGATAATTTTATTAGAAAGAAAGGGTTAGCATATGGAGATGGAGTAAGTGGATGGTAAAGTATGATATAATCTGTTATGAATTTGGGTTTTATTATGAAGAAGTCAAAGGGGAAGGGGAGGGGGAGGGGGGTTAGGGTGGAGGGGGGAAAAAAAGGGGGAAAATTTGTATTTGAAAAACATTCAGCTGTCTGCAATTATTGCAAGTTCGAATCTCCCCAGGCCCAAGGTTGACTCAGCCTTCCATCCTTTCTAAGGTAGGTAAATTGAGGACCCAGTTTGTGGGGGCAATAAGCTGACTTTGTATAAAAATATACAAAAGTATGAAGGCTATTGCTTAACGCATTGTAAGCCGCCCTGAGTCTCCGGAGAAGGGCGGCATATAAATCTAATTAAAAATAAAAATAAAAAAATAAATAAAAATTTATTTATTTATTTATTTATTTATTTATTTATTTATTTATTTATTTATTTATTTATTTATTTATTTATTGGTTCGATTTATATGCCGCCCTTCTCCGGAGACTCAGGACGGCTTACAATGCGTTAAGCAATAGCCTTCATACTTTTGTATATACCTGCTTAGTAGGGCTTTCGGACCCCCGCAAGCGGTGTTCTTTTTTATACAAAGTCAGTTTATTGCCCCCACAATCCAGGTCCTCATTTTACCTACCTCGGAAGGATGGAAGGCTGAGTCAACCTTGAGCCTGGTGAGATTTGAACTTGCAGTAATTGCAGGCAGCTGATGGTAGTTAATAGCACTTTAGTCTGCTGTGCTACCAAGGCTCTTATTCTGTCTTCAGTTGGGTTTTGGGTGTGTTTTCGCTTTCCCTGGATAAAGCTGACCCCATATTTTTAATAGCTACATACTACACTGAAAGAAAATAATTCTTTAATAAATCTAGTTTTGGGGTGGCATTTTGGGAAAGGAAGATAAAGCAGCTCTCTCCAATCTTGAATTCATAGTATTTAGTAAGGAAATATTCTTTTAAATGTGAGATGCAAAGGGTTTTGTTTTTTCCTCTGCTGCTTTGGGTTGGTAGCTCAGTTGCCAATAATAATTACTACTACGCTCCAATAATAATTATGATTATACATTGCTTAGGTTGCCACCTTGATGGTTCTGGTTTCTACAACTGAATGACTCACAGAAATAGCACTGCTCTCCTATCTGCATTTCTGTCTTGAGTTGAATAAAGAAATAAAAAGTGTGGAAATGTCACATTCTTACCTGCGCCTTCACTGCGAGATGGATGGCCTCTCTTTGCAAGGGCTCCAAGGTGGATTCACCAGTTCTGTGGCCTTCAGAAAATACCCATATTCTCAGCTAATTAGACAGGAAAGAACCAGTTTAATAATGAACACATTAGGCCTTTCTTCTTCAGCCAATTAATACAAGGGAGTATCTTTGATTCCTGTAACACACTATTTCTCTCAATTCCATCAGTTCTAATAGCATTTTTCTAAAAGCTAAATTCTACATTCCTGTCATGTGATGTTATTCAAATAGGCCCAGGAAATCAATACAGATAGTCCTCAATTTACAACAGCAACCAGAACCAGAATTTCCATTGCTAAGTAAGGTGATTGAGTGAGTTGCCATGGATTTTACAGCCTTTTTTTTGGTCATAGTTGTTAAGTGAATCGTTGCAGTTAATTGAATTGTGCTGTCATTAACGAGTTCAGCTCTCCCTATTGACTTTGCTTGTCAGAAGCCAGCTGGGAAGAGTGCAAATAATGATCACATGACCCCAGGATGCTGCAACCATTGTAAATAAATGCCAGTTACCAATTAATTTTGACTGTGGGGATGCTACAATGGTCATAAGTACGAGGACTGGTCATCAATCACTTTTTCAGTGCTGTGGTAACTGCAAACAGTCAATAAATAAATTGTTGTAAGTCAAGAACTACCTGTAACAGTTTTATTTTTACAAATAACTTGAAGTGGCGAATATATCCAACACATACCTTCCTCCTCCTGTTTTCCTCACAGCAACCCTGTGAGGTGGGTTGGGTTGAGAGAGGGTGACTGGCCCAAAGTCACCCAAATGGCTGTCATGACTAAGGCAGAACTTGAACTCATGGTTTTCTGATTTTTAGCCTTGGTGCCTTAACCACTACACCAAACTGACACTTTCAAGATTGAAGAGATCAGTGGGGGAAATACCTTTTACTGCCAAGATCATATTCTCAACTGGTCCCACTACTATAAACTCTGCATATTTGAAATGACATAAGGACCTACAAATTTACTATATAATTAATCCACAGGGACAGGGCTAAACTAGAACCAAGGGACAAGCTAACAAGTAGCACAGAGAAACACACAGGTATTGGAAATAAGTAATAGGATTAACATTCATGCTTCTCAGTGTTATTCTTTTTACCTTGTCCCATTCCTATCCTCCATCAACATATATTATATTATGTGCTGATAGAAGAGTGGATGTTTCCACTTAGCTGCATTTAGGATGTTTATTTTACTGCATCGTTATGCAAAAGTGCCTTATTCCATATGTAAACTTTCCATAAAATTGAATGTTTATTAGCCACAAGAGTCTAGTTTCATCCAATAATTGTGATTGCTACTTACATGGCACAGCCAGTATCCAAATAGCGCCTAACACAGTGTTTCCCTGTGCTAATTCATACTCAACCAATATCACACAATATGTAATGCACTGTGTAATATCCGTTGGGCATCTTCATGGGGAAGGGTATCTTTGGGCTGACAAGAACCAATTCTTTCCCCAGGTATCGGGATTCCTGCCTTGGGCAGAGAGTTGAAGGCCTCCAAGGTCCCTCCCAACTCTATGATTCCATGAATACAGAAAGCAATGTAGAGGTTATGTATTGCTGTCCTCCCCTACTCACATGGTCCCGGAGCATGGTGTCTCCAGTTGCTGACATTATCTCAACAGCTTCGGCTTCCTTTTTATGGTCAATGAAAATGAAACCACACAGCCATAGGACAACACCAACAGTAAGCATATACAGGACTTCTTTCTTGACGAAAAGGGTACATTGCTTGGGCAAGATTTGAAAAATCCCTGGAGTTTTTTTGCAGAAGAAGAAAAGGATCAGAAGAAGGTCAAATCTAAGATTGATTGTTGGTTCTTTCCACTCCCCAGTCCCCCAATGTGGAATGTAACCAGGACAGGATTACCATCAGCTGGAGTGAACAGACCTAGATTCACATCTCTGTTGAATTCAACCATTTCAAAAGATACAGGGCTACAGGAACATTTCTGAGCAATTTTTCCCAAATGTGGAATGTGGAAGATAGTAGAGTGAGGAAGGTTTTACTTTAGATTCCTCTAAGGAAAAGTGGAATTTCCTGCATGTGCTGCATGTGGGCTTATGGAAGGAAAACTATTAGAACAAAGACAGTCTTGTTTCTCAGCACCCTGTTCAGAGGTGGTATTCAGCAGGTTCTGACCAGTTCTGGAGAACCGGTAGCAGAAATTTTGAGTAGTTCAGAGAATCGGTAAATACCATCTCTGAATGGCCCTGCCCCCATCTATTCTCCGCCTCCCGAGTCCCAGTTGATTGGGAGGGAATGGGAATTTTGCAGTAACTTTCTCCTGGAGTGGGGAGGGAATAGAGATTTTACAGTATCCTTCCCCTGCCATGCCCACCAAGCCATGCCACGCCCACCAAGCCACACCCACAGAACCGGTAGTAAAAAATTTTGAAATCCACCACTGACCCTGTTGATTATTTTGTGTTTAGGAAACCAAACATGAATTATGGTGTGACTATCTAAGGCAATGTTTCTCAATTATGGCAACTCTTAAGATGTGTGGGCTTCAACTCCCAGGATTCTGGAAGGTGAAATCCACATATCTTAGAGATGCCAAGGTTGAGAAACACTGGTCTCCCATGCGGAAAGTGCCTGGTGCTAAGAACTGCAGCAGAGCAGAAGCTCTTAGAAGCTATCCCCCTTCTCCTGACAGAGCCCATCTATCTTTCTCCACAGAGAAAGGAAAGATCCTTCTGCTTTGTTGTTTACAGATATGGAAAACTGATTCTTGGGAGGTGCATCAGTTTGTTCTCCAGCTGTTCATGCTTCTTGATCCGGAAAAGGATTAGGAGAGGATAACCTCCTGCTGTTCTCTCCTGTCTTCATGTGAAGCATGAAAAGCCCAGAGACTGCAAAGAACAGGGTGCAAGGAAAGACAATTAAAATACTCATACCCGGTCATGAAATATTAACTCTCCTTTGGAAGAATTCTGAAGCCATTTTATTTTCTACCAGAGATGACTAAAAATGGTCAGTAGCACAAATGAATAAAACATATTTCAGACAAATTCAATCCTATGCTCTTCCCCAATGCTTCATATTGTCTGTCTTTAAATACGGCAAATAATAACGTTTCAAATATTTTGTGTATTCACCCATTGTTCAAGGCAAGGAGAAATGCAACTAGACCCATCACTACTGTTTACAATCCTGTTATTGCTACTGTTTTGTTTTTCTGCTTTTAATTTATTTAAGCTGCATGCCACATTTCTACTCTGGCAAGCACAAACTTTGCCTAAAAACAATGCAAGCCAAATATGAAGAGTTAAAAATACAACATAAAAGGATCAATAAAATTAAATGATGAAATGGACACTTTTTTTTTTGTGGATCCAGCTTTTTGTGCATGAGACTATTTTTCTGTGTGGGATCACCTTTCCTCAAGTTAATCTTACATGGGTAAAGATGGAGATGAGTTATTCCTATTTCAAGACGTATTTCCCTTCCAACGTAGTATGTGCCAAAAGATCAACAAACTCACCAAGCAAGTCCATGGAGCACTGCAGATTAGAGATGACGACATAAGGCCCTTTCAGGTTTAAGTTTGTAGCTCCCTGCACATTGAGCTTAATGCCATAAAGGAGTTTCAAGGGTAGCATGATGAAACGCAGAATTCTGAATCAAAGAATGAGATCGGATTTAGAAACAGTTGCGGAAAAGAAGCTGAGGAAGTTGCTAGAGCTAATTCAAGTAAGACCTGTCCACAATTGCACTTTTCCATAGAACATGTGCGATCTTCAGCCAGTGACACAATTGTATATACCCATAATGGCGAACCTATGGCACATGTGCCACAGGTGGCACGCGGAGCCATATCTGAGGGCACACAAGTGTTGCCCTTGCTCAGCTCCAGCACACATGTGTGTGCCAGCCAGCTGATTTTCGGGCCTTCCAGGCCCACCAGAAGTCAGGAAATGGGCTGTTTCCGGCCTCCGGAGGGCTTCTGGGGGGGTGAGGAAGGCTGTTTTTGCCCTCCCCAGGCTCCTAGAAAGCCTTTGGAGCCTGGGGAGAGTGAAAAACGGGCCAACCGTGCCATCGCGTGCCAAAAGCAGGGGGAGTGATGGGGGGAGCACACACACATGCGTGGGAAGGCAGGGCGCGGGGGGCATTGAATTATGGGTGGGGCACACACGCACACAATCCCCCTGTGCTCCCCCCACTTTTGGCACGCAATGGCAAAAAGGTTAGCCATTGCTGGTATATACTAAGGTAGGAGGATAAAAGATGGTGGATAGCTAAATATGAATCATCGCATTCATACTTTGCCCTTTCTCAACAGCATCTTCCTAACAATCCTATGAAGGAAGCTAGGCTAAGGACAAGTGAGATCACCCAGACGAGTTTTCTACTGCACAGCCAGACTGTCCTATTTGCCCAGCTAGGTCATTATTGTCTGACACTATATTGCAGTCTTTTCCTCTTACATTTCTATGCTATAGAGCAGCGTTTCTCAACCTTGGCCACTTGAAGATGTGAGGACTTCAACTCCCAGAATTCCCCAAGATGCTTATGTCCAAGGAATTAACTCAAATGTTCGATTGTACTTCTCATCCTTCAGAGGTTATGGATCCATTAACTAGCATCCAAAAATTTTGTTGTGCTTGGAGTAGAACATTAATACGGTGCATTCATAATAAGACAGAATGTGGTAAGTTGAAGAAGCAAACACCTAGCAAATTTTATCTTTGTCTCTCTGAGGAGTTTTCTGTTTTCTTCAGCTGCAGAACAGGGGTGAAATCCAGCAAGTTCTGATAGGTTCTGGAGAACTGGTAGCGGATATTTTGAGTAGTTCGGAGAACTGGCAAATACCACCTCTGGCTGGCCCCAGAGTGGGGTGGGAATGGAGATTTTGCAATATCTTTCCCCCAGGGGTGGGAATGGAGATTTTGTAATATCCTTCCCCCAGGAGTGGGGAGGGAATGGAGATTTTGCAGTATCCTTCCCATGCCATGTCCACCATGCCACCCACCATGCCACGCCCACCAAGCCACACCACACTCACCAAGCCACGCCCACAGAACCAGTAGTAAAAAAAATTGGATTTCACCACTGCTGCAGAACCTGTACACGTTCAGATGTAATGAGGAAGTGCCTTGTGGATGGCAAACAAGGGCAATCATAGATCGATCAGCTAAAGAGCACATACAGGTAGTCCTTGATTTATGATTATGATTTATGAGCCCAACATTTTGTTCCTAAGAGAGACCTTTGTTAAATGAGTTTTGCCCCATTTTACGACCTTTCTTGCCATATTTGTCAAGTAAATCACAGTTCTTAAATTAGTAATACAGTTCTTAAATTAGTAATACAGTTGTTAAGTGAATCTTGCTTCTCCATTGACTTTCTCAGAAGGTTGCAAAAGATGATCACATGTCCCTAGGATATTGCAATAGTCATAAATACAAGTCAGTTGCCAAGCATCTGAATTTTGATCATGTGACCATGTGGATGCTGCAATGGTCATAAGTGTGATAAGTCATAAGTCACTTTTTCAGATGTAACTTTAAAAGGTCACTAAACAAACTGTTCTTAGTCAAGGACTACCTATATTCCAGCAATCCTTCTTACAGGAGTAGGTCGAATCGAATGGCATGGGTCCCAGACATTCAGTACAGGAGCAATATCTGAATAATGATATGAGCTTGTCTGGAAAATTTAGGAACTGACCCAGGATCCCTTTGAATGGTGACCAGATTTAAGTTTTCCCTGGTCTCAGACAAAGATCACACACACCATCAGTTTAGGCTTGTGTTTTGTTTTGTTTTGTTTTGTTTTGTTTTGTTTTGTTTTGTTTTGTTTTGTTTTGTTTTGTTTTGTTTTGTTTTGTTTTGTTTTGTTTTGTTTTGTTTTGTTTTGTTTTGTTTTGTTGTTTTAAAATTCAATCACTCAGGAAGAGCTGGCTGCAAACAAACATATATAAGTGCAATATATCCATTGGCATGGTTAAACGTTATGATTCAGGGAGACATGACAGCAGTGTTCCAATATTTGAGGGGCTCCTACAAAGGCAAGGGGGGGGGGTCGAACTATTTTCCAAAGCACCAAAAGGCAAGACGAGAAACAATGGATGGAAATAAACCAAAGAGAGAAGCAACCTAAAACTAAGGAGAAATTTCCTAATGGTAAAGAGCAATCAACCAATGGAATAGCTTGCCTTCAGAAATTGTGGGTACTCCATCACTGGAGGCTTTCGAAAAGAGACTGGACAACCATTCATCTGAAATAGTATAGGGTCTCCTGCTTGAGCAGGGCATTGGACTAGAAGGCCTTCAAGATCCCTTCCAACTCTGTTATTCTGTAGCCTATGATCCAAATACCATAATGGATAGTGTATGAAGTTTCCTACATACCACAAGTACTATCTCTTCTCCTCTTAGACAATAATAGAGCTGGAAGGGACCTTGGGGGTCTTCCAGTCCAACCCCCTGCTCAAGCAGGAAACCCTATAGTATACCATTTCAGTCCATTTCAGACAAGTTTTCTTGATTAACCTCATGACATCACCAAAGACTCTGGAATTATAAGGAGCTATCAGTATAATAAAACATGGCTGTAAAAATGGCAGGCTCTGTAAGCTATCATGAAGGTATAGAGCAGGGTCGTCAAACTCTATTTCATTGAGGGCCACATCAGGGATGTATTTGACCTCGGGGGAGGGGGGGCAGGGGGGCATGGCTAGGGTGGGCGTGGCCAGCTCAACATCACTCATGTCAGGGGCGCCTGTGGTGGCCCGCGAAAACAGGCTTCCGAGCTCTGTTTTCGGCTGTGATGGCTTCCTGCAACCCTCTGCCAGCGAAAATGGAGGTCAGGAGGGCCGCCCACAGACCTCCTGAGCTCTATTTTCAGCTGCAATAGGCTCTTACATCCCTCTGCCAGCGAAAACAGCTCCATTTTTGCTGGCAAAGGCACTGTGGCCGGTTCTTTGCTGTTTCCAGGGCGGCCCTATGGGCCAGATCTAAGCACTCCGCGGGCTGGATCTGGGCCCCGGGCCTTGAGTTTGACACCCCTGGTATAGAGCAACATCAGCATGTTACTCTATATTCAGAGTAGTGGTAGTCTTAGAATGTCTATTTTTCATTTTGAATCAAGTAGTTAGATGAGCTCTGGCACCTTTGGATAAAATAATTTTTTTTATTTAATTGTTCTACTACCCTGTTTCCCTGAACATAAGACCCAACCGGAAAATAAGCCCTTGCATGATTTTTCAGAATGCTCATAATATAAGCCCTGCCCCAAAAATAAGACCCAGTTAAGATCGTCAACCAGACAGAGGCATTTAGTACTGTATTTCCCGCCAAATAAGACCTATCAGGGAAATAAGCCATAATGCATCTTTTGGAGCAAAAATTAATATAAGACCCGGTCTTATTTTGGGGGAAACACGGTAAATTATAGAAAGATCCAGTGTTTCATCTGCTATAACCTTTTCATGTTTTACCTGGGGGAGGGAGAGACACCTTTTGTAGCAAGAACAGATTATAAGGAGGTATTCCAACTATAAGTGCAAACAACAGATGTGGGGATTGAAGAAACTAATGGACAGCACCTCATCTTTTCTTTACAAGACTCCTCCCCATTATTTGTTTCTCTCTCTCTTCCTCTTGCTGCAGGTAGCTGCCAGGAAGAACTTGGGTTGCTCTTGTTGGGAAGCTGAACTATCAGGGGACTTCAGATTGTAAACTGTGGGCCACCATTTGCCCTAGAAGTGTTTCCTATTGTTGCCAAATTGAAGC